CAGGCAGGACTGCAATCATGTGGCCTATTTTCTCTTACCCTGTGTCTCCTTCATCTTTGCACCTGCAGCACCTGTATTCAAGTGCGGCAGGAAGAAGCTGCTCAATAATCATTTGGTGAATGAATGTGTCCTCTATCACAGGAACAGTGAGGGCTTTTTCAGCACCTGTGTCAGCATGGTAGGTGATAAAAAAGACAGTTGGCTGGGCTTGGTGGCTCACGCCTTTAATTCCAGAACTTTGAGAGGCCGAGGCAGGCGGATCACCTGAGTTCAGGAGTTTGAGACCAGCCTGGCCAACATGGCAAAACCCTGTCTCTACTAAGAAATACAAAAATTAGCCAGGCATGGTGGCATGTGCCTGTAGTCCCAGCTATTCAGGAGGCTGAGGCAGGAAAATGATTTGAACCTGGGAGGCAGAGGTTGCAGTGAGCCTAGATCGTGCTATTGCACTCCAGCCTAGGTGACACAACGAGACTCCATCTAAAAAAAAAAAAAGAGACAAGAGTTTGTGTTTGTAGTCTTGTTGAGGTTAAGAGAAGCAAATAATAATATCATCAACTATACAGCAAGCAAAGGGCTGGGCTGTAAGAGAACTGTAAACCAAATACTCTGGGGTGAAAGTCAGAGAGAATTCCTGGAGACAGCATGAAAAGGTGGAGAGGTTCTGCATCGAGAGCTGGGAGACAGGCGATGGGAGGGAAGGAGCAGCAGAGGAGCTGTGGAAGGAATAATTAGGGATTTTTTTTTTTTTGAGACAGAGTCTCGCTCTGTTGCCAGGCGCCAGGCTGGAGTGCAGTGGCGCGATCTCGACTCACTACAGCCTCTGCATCCCGGGTTCAAGCAATTCTTTTGCCTCAGCCTCCTGGGGAGCTGGGACTACAGGCGCACACCACCACGCCCAGCTAATTTTTTTTTTTTTGTTTTGTATTTTTAGTAGAGACAGGGTTTCATCATGTTGGCCAGGATAGTCTCGATCTCTTGACCTTGTGATCCACCCGCCTCCGCCTCCCAAAGTGCTGGGATTACAGGCTTGAGCCACCGCACCCGGCCAATTAGGGATTTTATACAGTGGTTTACTCTCTAGGAATCCCCTCTGCTTCTACAGGACAAGGACTGCATACCTGAAGTGCTTCCTTTCGCCCTCAGGGCGACCTTCCTCTTGCATGCCCAGGTCAGGGTTGTTCTCATTCAGGCTAAGTCTGAATGAGACTCACGCTGCAGGGGTGGCCTCCCCATTGCCACCTGCCTCTCCCAGGTTTCAGCTTTGGTCGTGGTCACTCCTGGAACTTCTGGACCTCTTCCCCCTTGATCTGATATCACAACCGCCATGCTGGCCTGAGCAGCCAGAGGTGCAAGGCAACAAGAGCCATGCTCGCCTTCCTTCGCTGCCCTCTCTTTGTGCTCCAACAAGGCCACCATCACTAGGCTTGGGGGTGAAAGGCTTGAAGATTTGCTACGGAGAGATGGAACATACAAATGCACCATGGCCAGACCACGTAGAAAAACAGAACCTTACCCACACTCTGGGGCAACCAGCCCAGGAAGTGAACCCGTTATCTATGTTAACCAGCCCAGGAAGCCACCATGGACCAGTCAGACTTGCAGGAAGTGAAGCCACAATCTCTAGGAACCAGTTTAGGAAGCCGAACAATAACCTCTGCAACCGTCTTCCCCAAACAGCCAGGACGTGATGAAGAACTGACAACGTCCCTTATTTTTGCCCCCACTTCCAACTTAGGACCTACCAGAGAGAAGCAAGTAAGCACCCCCAACCCATCACACAGGGTGCCACACTGCTGGCTGGCCACTGCTGGCCTCCCCATGCCAACTGCCCCCAACCACCGAACACACGAAGCCACCCCTTTCTTCCATTAGGAAGCTTTCCCACTCCTCTGCCTGCTTTCACATCCCTTCCAAAATACAAGTGATGGTGTGTGACTCCCTTGTTAGAGCAGGCTCTTGGTGAATAGCCTTTGCTTGATTTCCTGTGGTTCATTTTCATTTATTTCCATAATAGAAAAAGTACCTTTAAACTGGATGCCAGATATGGTTCCCAGAATCAAAGGAGGAAAAACATTAAATACTTGGTAAAGGTTCTCTGAGGGACATAACTAGGCTTAGCCTTGCCTTGGGTTTCTCAGATTTGGCCTCTTTCATTCCATGGGACGTGTGAGGGAGGCACACTCTCCTCTCCTCTCCCTCTCCTGAGCTCAAGCGATTCTCCTGCCTCAGCCTCCTGAGTAGCTGGGATTACAGGCGTCTGTCACCATGCCCAGCTAATTTTTGTATTTTTAGTAGAGATGGGGTTTCACCATATTGGCCAGGCTAGTCCCTAACTCTTGACCTCAGATGATCCGCCCACTTCTGCCTTCCAACGGGCTGGGATTATAGGCATGAGCCACTGTGCCGGCCTCTTCCAGCTGGAGTGCAGTGACGCAATCATGGCTTGCTTCAGTCTTAACTTCCTGGGCTCAAGTGATCCTCCTGCCTCAGCCTCCCTCCCGAGTAGCTGGGACTGCAAGTGCGAACCACCACACCTGGCTAATTTTTTTTTTTTTTTTTTGGTAGATATGGGATCTCACTATGTTACCCAGGCCAGTCTTATACTCCTGGGCTCAAGTGATCCTCCCGCTTTAGCCACCCAAAGTGCTGTGATTACAGATGTGAGCCACCACACTAGGCTAAAATTTTATTTGTGATAAAATACACATAAAATTTACCATCGTAACCATTCTTAAGTGTACAAGTCAGTAGTGTTAAGTACATTCACGTTATTATACAGTGTCGTGACTGCCCTCCCTCTCCAGGACTCTTTCATCTTACGAATCCACAACTCTTATCCATTCAACAACGACTCTCCATGCCTCTCACCCCACAGCCCCTGGCAACCATTGTTCTGCTTCCTGTCTCTACGAATTTGATTACTGTAGGCATCTTGTGCAAGAGAAATCACATAGTATTTGTCTTTATGTGACTGGCTTATTTCACTTAGTGTCATGTCAACTTCCTCTATGGTATAGCATATAGCACATGTCACAATACTCTTTTCTTTTTTTTTTTTTGTTTTTGAGACAGAGTCTCACTGTGTCATCCAGGCTGGGGTGCAACCTCTACCTCCTGGGTTCAAGCCATTCTCCTGCCTCAGCCTCCCCAAATAGACTATAGGTGCTCATCACCACGCCTGGCTAAGTTTTCTATTTTTATTAGAGATGGGATTTCGCCATGTTGGCCAGGCTGGTCTCGAGCTCCTGATCCCAGGTGATCCACCCGCCTCGGCCTCCCAAAGTGCTGAGATTACAGGTGTAAGCCACCATGCTTGGCCCAGAGTTGTCTTCTTTTTTAAGGCTGAATGACAGGCTGCTGTATGTACATGCTGCGTTTTGCTTATTCATTCATCCGTAGTGGCCACTGGATTGCTTGCAGCCCTTGGCTGTTGTGAACAATGCTGCTGTCAAATAGAGGTGTCGCTTTTATTCCCTTGTTCTTGACCCTCCTCTGGCTGGAGATTCTGATGGTACCTCAGGTAGTGTTGTTAGGGTAAAAATAATCAATGTTCAGTTTTTAAATGTACTTATCTTATTTTACTTCTGAAATACACCTTGAAAACTAAAAGGAAGGTCTGAGGAGAACAGAGCCATGATTTTTTGCTAAGACGGTAGATTTGGAAAGAAATATAACAGAGCTTCTTGGCACTGGCCGCACTGGGGAAATTTGAAAAAGTACCAATGCGCAGGCCTTCCACCCCTGAGAGTCTCAGTGGATTGGTCTTGGCATGTTGGGGTCACCTGAGAGCTTTTACACAGCGCCACTGCCCAGGCTCCACCTGCGCCCCATTAAATTAGAAATGCTGGGGGTGGGGCCCAGGCATTGATGTATTTGGAAGCTTCCCCAGTTGAGTTGATTCTAGCTGGAACTGAGAACCACCCACATCTCCACCCACAAAAGGACAAAGAAAGGCCATCTGGAGTGGGATGGAGTCAGAAGGCAGAGGCATGGTCTCATAGAAAAGGGGACAGCTGAGTGGGGTCATTTCCTAAACCTGTTACATCTGTACAAATCCTTTCATTAAACTCTCCTCAATATGTAAACTATACTTTACTATAGCTAATGGAGGTCTTCTCAACATCTTCCTCTAAAGGCAAAAAACAAAAGCAGCTATGGTCAGTTACCTTATGTCAGCGTCACCTGCTTCCTGCAACATCCTGACTCATCTAGCTGTGCTGTCAGGCACCTAGTTGCCAAAAGAGTCAGAGGTGGTCCAGTTGCCACAAGCGTGTGGTATAAGGCAACATCGGGACAAGAGGTAGACTTGAAAGCTGTTCATGAGCCTAAGTCTAGAGAATGCTCCTGCCTCCACTCTCCTTTCCCATGCCTCTCTCAGACTGAGATGGTCACATCCTCCTAGTATCTAGTGATGGTTTTGGCTCTGTTCTCTCCATGCCCCTTACCTGCCCCAAATCTGCAGCCCAAATGCCAGCAGAGCACCAGTGTCTGGCCAGCCTCCACCTCAGATCTTGGTGGGTCTGGGGTAGTGGATACCACTCCCAGCCTCACCCAGAACAGTGCCTTGTGGCTTCCCTGGACAGAGAACTTCAGGCAGGGCAACATCAGCTAAAACAGAAGAGCAAACTAAGCTTGAGGTTTCCAGGACAAAGAACGATGTCTACTCGTTAGCTTGATGGATTTTAAGCATTAGGTTAGTTTTGCTTTTTTGGTTGATTAATAAATTTTACAAAGTGTGTAAAACTTCAAGTATGCAGGTGAATACATTTTTATATATGTCTGCACCTGTGTAACCACCACTCTGAAAAAGATATAGAAACTTCCAATACTCCAGGAGACTCCCTTGCACCCCTCTGGTAGTGGAGGTAATTATCCACATAGGTCTGCAGCAACTTCATTTCTTGCCTCCTCCGAAGAAAGAACTCGACTGAGGGGCATAAGGCAAAAGGAGAGACAAAGGCAAGTTTTTTTTTTTTTTTTTTTTTTTTTGAAGGAAAATTTGCATTAATTATTTTTATTTACAGAAACAGTTATTTACATTTAACCCAGTTTCGTGGCAAGTTCTTTAGCCTTTGCCTTTTCTAGCTTGGCAATGCGAGCCACAGACTTGGGACCCAGGACATTGCCTCCCCAGTGACGCCGGATCTCATCGTATCTGTCATTGTAGTTGGTGCGAATAGCTTCCACCAGCTTAGCCAAAGCACCTTTGTCTTCCGGATTAACGTGTGTGAAGGCGACAGTGGTGCAGGTCTTCCTATGAACTAGACGTCCCAGTCTTGCCTTACCCTTGATGATGCAGTAAGGGACTCCCATTTTACGACAGAGGGCAGGCAAGAAGACAACCAGCTCAATGGGATCCACATCGTGTGCAATCACCACCAGCTGAGCTTTCTTGTTCTCCACCAAGGTGGTGACGCTGTTAACTCCTGCTCGGAGGACAGGTGGTCTCTTACTGGGGACGTCCCCTTTGCCAGCCGCTTTCTTCTCGGCCCGGGCCAACAGCCTCTGCTTCTTTTCTTGCTTCGTCTCTGGTCTGTACTTGTGGGCCAGCTTAAGCAGCTGGGTAGCTGTTTGGCGGTCCAGGGCTTGGGTGAATTGGTTAATTGCAGGAGGCACTTTCAGCCGCTTATAGAGGATGGCTCTCTGCCGCTGCAACCTGATATAGCGGGGCCATTTCACAAAGCGGGTGAGGTCTCTTTTGGGCTGGATATCTTGTCCAATGCCAAAATTTTTAGGCCTTTTCTCAAATAGTGGATTCACCACTTTCTTGGCCTCCTGCTTCTTAACGACAGCAGGGGCCGGAGCCACCTTCTTCCCCTTGGCCTTCTTTCCTTTCGGCATCTTGGGCGGCGGGAAGAGCAAGGCAAGTTTTAAAGCAGAAATGAAAGTTTATTAAAACGTTTTGGAGCAGAAAGGAAAGTATACTTGGAAGAGGGCCAAGTGGGTGACTTGAAAGACAAGTGCATGGTTTGACCTTTTGACGTGGGGTTTTTAATATGTTGGCATACTTCTGGGGTCTTGCGTTTCTTCTCCCAGCTCCTGAGATCTTACGGGGAAGCGGCTAATGACCAGTATCAAGTGTTTCCTATCTATTAGGGCATTGCCTTTCCCTGGCACCAGCTGTGACCAATTATTACTTTAGACAGTTCACAGCTGCCTGACCATCACCTGATGGTTGCCTGACTTTCCTGGTGTGTGTATGGGGGGAGCCCTCTTCTGCCCTGTTCATACCTGAGTAGCTACCCATGGTAACACTCCCAGTCAATTTTCCCTACTCCCCACCCCCTGCTAAGGGCAACCATTATTTTTAATTCTGTCACCATAGATTAGGTTGTACATATTTTTGAACGTAATAGGTGATTTTTGAAGAATGGAATCACCTATTATGTACTCTTTTATATCTGGCTTCTTCCATTAAACATAGTATCTGTGGTATTTATCTATGTTATTACATGCAGCACTAGTTTGTGTTTTTCATTGCCATGTGGAATTTCCTTTATATATATCACAAATTATCCATTCTTTTGGTTTTTGTTTGTTTGAGATGGAGTCTCTGTCTCCCAGGCTAGAGCGCAGTGGCATAATTTTGGCTCACTGCAACCTCTGCCTCTCAGATTCAAGAGATTCTCTTCCCTCAGCCTCCTGAGTAGCTGGGACTATAGATGCCTGGCTAATTTCTGTATTTTTAGTAGAGATGGGGTTTTGCCATGTTGGCCAGGCTGGTCTTGAACTCCTGACCTCAGGTGAGCCACCTTCCAAAGTGCGGGGATGATAGGTGTGAGCCACCGCATCTGGCCCCTTTCTGCTTCGAATAGGCATTTGTGTTCTTACCAGTTCGGCGCCATTATGTATACAGCTGCTACGAACGTTCTCAAACACGTCTTTAGGTGAACACAAGCAGTAATTTCTTTTGGGAATATACCTAGGAGTGGAATTGCTGGATCATAGGATAGGCATGTTTTGCCTTTAGAAGATACTGCCAAGTTTCCAAAATGATTGCAACAATTTACACACCCACCAGCAATATATGAAATTCTCATGAATACTTGTTAGTATCAATTCTTCTAATTTTGGCAATTCTGAGAAGGATATGGTGGTATATCATGAGGTTTTAATTTGCATATTTCATATATTATTAAAGAAACCAATGAATTTATAAATCAAAAAAATCAAGGAGTCCTTTATGTAAATTGCCAGCTTATTCCCAATAATCTTCTCTTAACTGTTCCCCAATATTTTATTGTGAAAAATTTAAAATACAGTAAAGACGAAAGAATTTTACAGTGACATGTATCCCACCATTTTTGTTCTTGTTTAAGCACAAATTTACCCATCTCTCCATTCTTGCATTCATCCATTTTGCTTCTTTTTTTTTTTTTTTTTGAGATGGAGTCTCCCTCTATTGATTGCCCAGGTTGGAGTGCAGTGGCCCAATTTCAGCTCACTGCAACCTCTGCCTCCCAGGTTCAAGTGATTCTTCTGCCTCAGCTTCCCCAGTAGCTGGGATTACAGGTGTCTGACACCATGCCCGGCTAATTTTTGTATTTTTAGTAGAGAAGGGGCTTCACTTTGTTGGCCAGGCTGGTCTCGAACTCCTGACCTCAGGTGATCCACCTACCTCGGCCTCCCAAAGTGCCGGGATTACAGGCATGAGCCACCATGCCCGGCCCATCCACTTTACTTCTCCAAAGCATTTCAAATTAAATAGACATCATTACACACCCTCCTTAAGAACTTCACTGTACATATTATCACTGGAGTTTGACATTTCCCCATTTTTTCTTTTTAATCATAGTAAAATTATATAAAACTTACTATTTGAACCATTTTTAAGTATATAGTCCAGTAGTGTTAGGTACGTTCATATTGTTGTGCAACTTATCTCTGCCTCGGCCTCCCAAAGTGCTGGTGTTCCCCTACACATGCTCTCTCTTCCCTGCTGCCATAAGATATGACTTTGCTTCTCATTCACCTTCCACCATGATTGTGAGGCCTAAGCTGTGTGGAACTGTGAGTCCATAAAACCTCTTTCTTTTATAAATTATCCACTCTCAGGTATGTGTTTATGAGCAGCATGACAACAGACTAATACAGGCAGGTTCCCAGAAAGCATTTTAACTGAGTTCGCTGAATTCATGCTGGGCGGTATAGGGGGATGGAGGTGGAAGGTGGTCAGGGGTGGTTATCATTGACTCGAGATCGAATCTTTTCAGTAGCTAAATGAAGACCCAAGAGCCAGAATAACCTAGATTATATAAAGAGATTATAAAAGGAAATAGAGATTTCTAAAAATGTATTATATTTTAAATTGAAACCCATAATAAAGAGGATGATTATTCTTTACCCGTGGATAGAACACAGAGTTACTGATGATTACACTTGGCTGTTGCTGGCATTTGGTTCTTTTGATCTTTACTTTGAGTCAATAGAACTGTTCAGGCATTCCCTAAGGAGAACAGATATAAGCACGACACTGCATCAGCATTTCTTCTACAAAAGCAAAGTCAAAATAAATGACATAAGCCCATAGCAGCTGATATATTTTAGTTCTTTCCTCATACTATTAACAAACATGAGACTCTCTCTTTCCAGAGAAGTTCGATCTGTATGGGAATCTAAAGATAATTACAGTTGAGCCACCCTGAGACAGAGCCCTGAGAGACATGGAAATCTCCAAAGTGACCTCATTTACACAGAATCTGGATATTCATTTCTTCCTTTGATCCCATGTTACAAACTGGATTATTCTTTGCCTTAGATGTCCAACCATTCAAGCCCCTAGCTGGGTCTTACAAGGTTCTAGCTCAGGAGGGAGTAGTTGGGTGGCAGGGGGTGGCTCTGTGGTTGCTGGTTATGTGGGGAACATGTGGGAAGTGTAAGGAGAAGGGAAAGCTCCAGGTTTGCACTCGTCAGTCAGGGTCCTGTTCCTATAACCTACGATTTCAGTTAACATGGTGCCAATTCCCTGGAAGACACACAAAGAGGCCTCTGTTCTCTCTGCTGCGCTGTGGCATCTCAGCTGGACACTACCTGGCTGCTAAAGCAGAGATCTGTCTGCTGCTGCCACAGCTCTTCTCTCCGGACTGTTCAAACCTGGCCCTTGTAGGATGGAAGTGCACACACTGTTTCTGCCTGTCCCCAGGAAGCAAGATGTAGACTTCTTCCTTCATCATTCAGGCAAAAACTGAATGAATAGATGAACACCAAATTATGCAAATCACCATCATGCAGGCTAGGTTGCCAAATATGCCCAGATCTGCTTAAACTGAGAAGTAAAGGCTGATCAAGCTCACATCTAAAATCCTGGGTTATAAGAAAAATTCCAGCTGACTTGGAACACAGCCCTGACTCCTCCCACATAACACCAGCAAAGAGCTGGTCCAGGAAAAACGTCACTTGTTCAAAGATGAGTCATCAAAAAGGAAGCCATACAGGATCGCCGCAAATGTAGGAAAGGGATAGGAAAAACCAGCAGCAGATCTGGAATACTCACCAGGAAGATGCTGCCATGGAGCAGACAGCAGTCAAAAGCAGGCAATTGCCAGGCACTTAAAAACTTAATGAAATGATTGCCTCTAAGAGGGAAGAGGATGAAGTGAGCTCAGGGAAAGAATGGAAATCTATCAGGAGGCAGAACATGAGCTCAGAAGAAAAGTGGAAAAAGAAAAAACAAAGGCAACCAGGACTAGTCATGGTTCTCCAAAAAAAACAGAATTAATAAGGTATCTATCTATTATTTTATGTGTGCAAATAAAATTTATATAATATACATTATATAACATAAATATAATGTATATTATATATAATATATATTTTATATGCACACACAAAATAGTTATATATATATATATATATATATATATGAGGAAGACAGAGATTTATTTTAAGGAATGGGCTGCTGTGATTAAGGAGGCTGGCAAGTACAAAATCTGAAGGGTGGGCTGGCAGGCTGGAGAGTCAGGAGAGCTAATGTCTCAGTTCAAGTGTAAAGACCAAGTGCTGGCAGAATTCATTCTTGCTTGGAAGAGATCAGTCTTTTGTTCTATTTAGGCCTCCAGTTGATTGGCTGAGGGCCCTACACATTAGGGAGAGTCATCTGCTTTACTCAAAGTCCAATGAGATTTAAATGTTAATCTCATCCAAAAACACCCTCACAGAAGCATCCAGAGTAATGTCCCATGACCCAGCCAAGTTGACACATAAAATTAACCATCTTACCTAACCAAACCAACGTGGTGATCATTATTCAAATCAAATTTAACAACAAGGCCAGGTGCAGTGGCTCACGCCTGTAATCCCAGCACTTTGGGAGGCCAAGGCGGGCAGATCACCTGAGGTCAGGAGTTCAAGACCAGCCTGACCTACATGGAAAAACACCATCTCTACTAAAAATACAAAATTAGCCAGGTGTGGTGGCACATGCCTGCAATCCCAGCTACTCAGGAGGCTGAGGCAGGAGAATCACTTAAACCCAGGAGGCAGAGGTCACAGTAAGCTGAGATCATGCCATTGCACTCCAACCTGGGCAACAAGAGTGAAACTCCATCTCAAAAAAAAAACAAAAAAAAAAAACAGCAAATCTCAAACTAGAGCAACTTGCTCCCCTTTGAATCATTTCTTTGTCTGTAAGGTAGAATGGGCCATGGATGTCCTTCTATCAGGGATGAGGGTCTTTGCTCCCTGCATTGCCTCCTGTAGTCACTGGCAATGATATCAGTGAATCTAAACTCACATGAGTGGGTCATAATGAATACTAGGCTGACATTAGATTTTATCCTAGTTATCTGAAATAAGAATGACTGGTCTCCTTTGCCCCCAGAATTTATAGACAGTTAGCTGAGCCCGGGACCCTGGGGACATGGGTGATA